TTATAAATGCTTGAATCACTTAAAATGTATTAACTTATTAATTTGTTGTATAACTAGAAGTATAACTAGAAGATAGATGAGACTTGTCAAATAAGTTCAGTGAATGCCCAAGGTAAAATAAATATTTCATATTTTCTACTCCAGAATTAGGAGGAAAAAAATAATTTATACATAGATAGTCCAAAACTAACAAACCTATCTCTTTCTTCAATTTTATGTTTACTTGTTTTAAGAGAGTAACTATATCAATTAATCTCGAGACTGAATCATGTTGGAAATATTTTTACAATAATTAAGACAGAATAATAAATAAATGTCCCTCTGACACTACATAGATAGGCAATATATTGTATTTGCTAAAGCTGTGTCAAAATAGTCATCACTATGTCAAGCTTTACTTTCATTCTGCGTATTCAGCACGGGTATCAAGGAAGCCCCAACTGCTTGATCTTTGTACTATGTGGTGAATTTCTCTTTTTTTGCTTTTGTTTCTATGTCACATAAAACAATGCTCGGGGTTCCACTTGGTTCTGTACTCAGTGAACACTCTTGACAGGGCTCAGGATATCATATGGGGTGTCACTGGTTCTATGCAAGGCAAGACCCTATCCTTTGTACTCTCATTCTAAACCTGATTTCCAGTCATCTACATTCTAATGATGTAGGATTTCATCCTATTTTACTTTTAGGAGAAAAAAAAATGTCCTTTCACTTTTTTCATCAAAATTACATTTTTCCTGGTTATACTCTCATCTTGTTAAAAGTAGAGTTAAGCCAAAGACTTTGAATCCTGGTCAATCAATCAAACTTTGAGGCCAAAAGACCTAGTTACATATAAAGTTAAGCTGAAGGAAGATACATCTCAGTTCACCTCTTTTCTATTCTGATCAGAAACAGGACACCTACTGGAGGAATCTACTAGAATCTAGATTCTATTTTATGTGTCACTTTGTGATTATATAAACTCCCTTTGTGCAAGGAAAATATAACTTTTCCCATTTTTTAGATTCTTGATTGTGTAAATCCATCATACAGGCCATTCAATGGCCTCTTATTTCCCAAAGATCATAAAATTTTAAAATTAGGAAAGCATCCAAAGAAAGAAAAAATCTCAAGAAGCAAACTGAAATCTTCTTAGATTTCGCTAGATGAATATTTAAGAGAAAGATAGAAAACAAAGAGAGAAAGAAGGAAAGAAAAAAAGAAAATGTTAATTCTATTTCTGCTTTATGTTTTTGGTCATTTAGCATATAATATATATAACTTTAATGAGACCAAAAATCAATTTCAACCCTACAAGTGATGTATTTAATTTGTCAGTATGAAAATCAACAGGACCTCTCAGCATGATTGGGTAGTATAATCCTGTCCATAAAATATTGCTCCTTGTTCTGCCAAACAAGTGGTCGTGCATTCTAGGGGCCCACTCACTGACTTGGCAACTGAGAGCCCATCACACACAAAGCTGCTAAGTCACCAACCCAGACACAACTCCTGACATTCCTTGGGGAGGAAGCAAAGCTTAATTTAGATAATCCTCTTTGCAAAGTGTATTACTTGATCCAAACCAGACATGGTCAGCTAAAGACAACTGCTCCTCCGTTTCAGAGATACCTCAGTAGAAATAGCTTCTGGCTGCATTTGGTGGATTAAGATTTAAAGACAAGGGTAAGGATAATTAATAAACTCTTTTTTAAATACATATAACCAATTTCATGCTTGACTCTGACTTTCTAGCTACTCAAATGGTCAGGGAAAGGCTCTCAATCTTACTGCTCTATAAAGTACTTTCAAGGGACTCTCTAATTCTATGTCAGATGTGAAAATCAATAATAATAATGCAGAAAGTATGTTGTGTATCACACACAGATATTTTTGGCTTATTAAAAGAAAAACACACTTTGTTTCCCATGTGGTTTATGGAAGAATATACTTGGCTTAATAGTGTAAGTTCCCCTAATATTCCAGCATACCTAGTGCAACCAACAACCGGAAGCAGTCAGAGAAACATGGGGATATGGTTATGTCAGGATCTAGAATTCACTGATAGTCACCCCACTCCTAGTCACATGTAAGACAATGTCATTTTTGAGAGCAAAACATAAAGAGGTGCACAGTAGATGAAAAAGACATATGTAACTTTCTATTAACCTGAGCACACAAATTAATATGAATTAATTTTAAGTCACTTAATTCATAATGAAATATTATATTTCTAGAAAAGGAATTGTATAATCCTAAAAAGAAAGTGACAGAAAACAGTAAATGGTATGATGCTGATGTGTAAGAAAATGAAAATTTTCCTTTGATATTAGGATTAAATGATAGGAGGTAAAATCAGAATACCTGCATGTGCTGGCAATTGTGTCAGTGACCTGCAGTTTTGCCCTAATCTTGTCTCAGCTGTACTGATGAATAGAGAGAACAACTGTTAAGCACTTACCCTTTAAAACACTGACCATTTCATGGTAAGAATTTCGTAGTGGAAAACAGTACCAGGTACCATATCAAAAATCATGATGGAGACAACCAAAATGATCTGAAATTAAGGTAGAAGGGATGGATGTATTTTTTTGAAAAAGAAAGAAAAAACAAAAAAAGAAAGAAAATGAGCAGGAAAGAAAGGAGAAAAAGACAGAGATGGGGATATATCAACAAAAATGACACCTAGGATATCATTAATTTTTGTAGTTAAGGGTGAACTCTTTCAGGCTTCCGATTTTTTTAAATGGTATCCTGATAGCTAAAGTGTCAGATGTAGGTGAAGAATAAATGTACAACACCAAAGAGAAGAAGTAAAGAACCAAAATTCACTCTGACAACTTTTTAAAAGATGAACAATAAGTAGTAACATACCCAGTAGACAGTAGAAAGTATATTAAAACTATCCAGGGTCACACCCACACAATAAAATACCATTGCTTAGAACATGCATCTTTTAGAAAAGGTATCTAACTCCAAAGGAAGCAGCCTACAAAACAGCATGTGGAAGACTTTAATTGTGAAAAATATATTTGTAAATAGTGAACAACATATATAGTCCTATGTAAAATAATGATAGCAATTAATGTCCTTTTGTATAATTTATCCCTTTACTACAAGAAATGCACATTATTAATATAATTATTAAATAACTTTATAATAACATTAAGATTGTCATTGCTTTAATACATCTATTCATTCATAGATAAAAGGCTTCCAAATAGCTTTTTGATTCAATGTAACTATATGTGAGGGTTCACTTTAGTGACAGAATTATAGTCTTGTAGAAACCTAAATCTAGGGATGGCATAAGTAACCTGTTATGTGTATATGTCTGATTAATGCAGCAGGGAAATGGTATATTTTAATAGCATTTTCAATTTCAAGCATTTAATTACTAACCAGTACAGAGTCAATTCCTGTAAAATTTATTCATAGTTTTACAATTTTGCCCATGACAGTACTAAGAAATAAATGTAAAACTTTTTAGATATGCAAATCATGGGGTATGAAAGCTGGCTATTCAGACTCTAACCCAATAGCATTTTTTAATTTTTTTCTCCTTAAACTTTTATTAGTGAAACACCATGAGGTACAGTAGTAGACTTACAAATTTTTGTGCTTGGGTTTCAGTTATACAATGATCGAATACTCATCCCTCCACCAGTGCCCATCATCCACCACCACGGGTCCCGGCATCCCCCCCACTCCCCATCCCCCACATCCCACCCTACCTCTGTGGCAGGGCATCCAGCATTTTTGTTTTTAATGTAGTGGTTTATCTACAACTGTGGTGCTTTGATCTACTTTTAGCATGAAGCTGGAGTCGGGAAATCCTAAATTGTCAATATATCAAGTGGCATTCTGCTACAGAGGGGAAAGCAGGCCAGAAATGAGTTATGTATCCCAGTTCTGTAAGCAACATGTTTTGTGACCTGCCATGGACTGCTGACTTGCATAGTCAGCTTCCTCATCTGTAAAGAGAACTGGCAGCCCTAGTAGGTTCCTTCTTGGTCTAGAAGACAAAAACAATTCCACTTGACACAACGATATTGGACAAGATTCCAGCAATACAGAGGTCCATAACTCAACATAGTACACAATAACTAAACTTCAAAACAGTCAGACACTCAGAAAAAATGCAATTATTGATTCACAACCTTGTCCACACTGGGGCCATGTTTTGAAGTATTCATTGTATCAGTAATGTTAAAATTATCTAAGGGGGAAATACTGTAGGAAAACTGAGTAACGTAAGAAATTTATTTTAGGGAGTTCCTCTTCAAGCACTACTCCCTGCACTGAGGGAGTATCTTTATTACTTACTCTTTTCCTTATTGGTTTAATAAATTGAAAAAAAACAAACAAAATAAGAAAACAAAATAATATAGTCAACTATTACATCTCAGCTTTGAAGATCTCAAAGTCCCATTTCATTCAACTGCCATGATTCGGTTTATAAAACGTGTGTAAAGACAAGTCAAAGAAATTTAAATGGGGAGAAGAAAACAACTCATGAATCGGTGATACAAATAATTTTGTGGGGAAAAAGTAAACTTTGCTTCTGTCTAGATCTTTGCACGATCTTTGAATTTAAAAATCTTGTTTTGTACAGGTTTAATGACAACTAAAAGGAAAATTTAAGTTACTGGGTTTTTATTTTATATAATAGTGAGACTCTATTTTTCTATATAGCTATAGATTTTTATTCCACACATTTATTCATAGAGTAGGCATAACATTTAGTTGTAAAGTCAGATCATTTTTGTAAATACACTTAGATATAAACAACTGAATATTAGGGAAATTTGTGTTAAAAGTCATAAAACAAATATTTTAAAAGGATCATAAGAAACAAGTACTTTTATTTTTGAGATATTTATAAGATGTTCTCCATAAACTCTTCTTAATATATTAAAAATTAATTTTGCTTTTTTAAACTACTATTTAGGAGTTGGCAGAGAGGTAAAGGATAATAAATACATACAAAATATTTTTGGGAATACAACACCCCTCACCTGTTTTTCTCATGAATCTTTAGGATTTCATTAGTCTGTTGAAGAAGTTGCTTCTCAAGCTTATATGTTGATAATGAATTCTCCAGAAGTTGTATTTCAAGACGAGAAGTTTGATTTAGTACCTTAAGATAAAACATAAAAATATTTCACAATTTTAATCACCAATCATTATTTTTTAAATTTCATTATTTCATTTCTGTAAAAGGAATGTTTCTTTCAAAACAAGTTATCAAATGGTATAAATTCTAATTAATGCTTTATATTATTTTAAATTTTGTTAATTTGGGATCGAGTTTATAATTGGGTTAGAAAATTCAGTCGTTAACTCTATTTTTATGCTTCATTTCCATGTACTAAATTCATAGGGCAATCTTCTATATTACTTGCTTTATTCTTATCTAATTTGAAATGTTCTATTTTTAAAAAAAGTAAAAGAAGGGTCACATAATCTCAAGGTTTAGTCTTAGTAGGGGAAGTGACCAGGATTTCATATTATATTATAGTAAAATTGGAGATAACTACTAGTTGTACTTCCACCCATACTACACACACATTTTCTTCTAGAAAATGTAGATATGCTCAATTCATTTTGAATCGTTAGAATCATGGTACAGATCAGAACTTCAGGAAAGTGAGTATCAATCTAAAGTTTCTTCTCTAAATTTTGCACGAACAGAACTCCCAAGCTTTCCTGGATTTTTTTTAATGAGGTCGGAGTACCCAGAAGCACTTGGGCTTACACCTAGCTGGTGTCCAAGGATTACTCCTGGTGTGTCTGGGGGCCATACAGAATATGAGGTATCAAACTTAGCTAGACATGTTTTCAAGATAAGCATCCTATTGACTATACATCAAAAAGTGTTGGGCACTTTTTCTCCTTTTCTGTAGCAGTCCTCTAAATTTGGGGATGTGTACACCACAAAGCCTTTTCAAAATAACACTGATATACCTGAAGTTAGACTTGAAGAAAGTTGCAGGAGAGAGAGAGAGATATTTACAAGGGACCTAGATAGAAATTATGATAAGATAAGAGTTAGTTGCTAGGGGCTAGGGACATAGTACCAGAGCATAAGGTAAGGGTAAGGTCAGTTGAACTGAACTGTTTTTTTTTTTTCCCAGCAATGCATTTGGTACCTGAATACTGCCTGGAGTGATCTCTAAGCAGAGTCAAGAGTACAACCAGATGTGGTCAAGAAAAAGAAAAAAAAAGTCAAATTCCTTAGATGCACTATTAAAGGGGGACACAAAAATTTTCACACAAAACCCTCAGTAAACAAATAATATTTCAATGTAGCATTTAAATAAATAAAAAACTGTGCAAAATGAATCCATGTTTAAATATGAAACATACTATCACACTTAAATATATACTCTAACCCTACACATGTGATTCAATTTTGCAGACCTGATCTTACCCTGTCTTTGCTCTATGCCTCGCCCTGCAGCAATGAAGTTGAGGCAGCAAAAAGTGAGATTGTGTTTTAAAACTTTTAAGTTGCTAAGATTCTTTTTTTTTCAGTATTCATGAATATGTAACTGAGAACCTGTCTAAAAGTTACTATGGATGATGAAAGAGTATATTCATGGAGTAATTTAGAGTTTTTTTAACCAAATTTCCTGTTATATCATTTCATTTGAGTAAAAGGAGCAATAAGAGAATCTGTGATTGAAGGTCAAATTAGAAGCAGAGAAAAAATTAGAAGTAGAGAATGCTAAGATCAGGGAATCACAAAATTGAATCTTCAACTAGTAAACATTGCTTCTTGTGGGAAAAATTTTGATTTTTATAAAATAAGAATTAAAATATATAAATTAATAAAATATGGGATGTGACACTGATGTGTTTTTGTTAACATTTTGCAGTGTTCGACAGAGTATTCAGTAAATGCTATTTATTTTTATTGGGTATTAAAATATTTATTGAATGCTTTGAGTATATTGTGCCACTGAATCAAACATATGCCAATAAATAAAACCTATTCATTCCTTATTATATTGCAATCTGTGCTTTCTTATATCCTCAAGTATTAAAAAACGTACAAATGACAGAAATTATTTTTCTGCATGTTCACTGAGAACTCATATAGAGACATTCAGAATTACAGGTAACACTACTTATTTCTAAATCTGGAGACTGTAGTAACTCCAAATTTTTCTCTATTTTGTGCTACTTCTAGTCTATTTTCCACATTCTGATCAGGATCAGAATGATCTCTTTAAAACATAAAGCTAATCATGTTATTTATTGTTAATGAGTTAATGACTTCCTTTTGCAAATAGAAACCCCAAATCCTTAACTTCAAGGACAAAGTCCTTAAACCATCAGGGCTCTGCTTATTTTCCGGATCTTTTTTTCTGACATGCTCCTCCTGACTAAACAGGCTCCAAGGATAATGGTTTTCTATTTCCTACCACATGACAAATTCATTTCCAGCTTCATACTTTACACTCAGTTTGCTTAACCCGGAATGCTCACACCTCCCCAGGTACGGTTGGTTTCTACTTGCTCAAAGATGCTAGAAAGTTACTCCCACAGTACCCTCTATCGAGTCATCAAGTTTGATTTCTTTATGGATTCATTACTATTAGAAACAATCTCATACCTTCACAATTGACTCTCTGCACTAAGGGATGCCAGCTGCAGATAGAAAGGATGTCTCTAGCTGGTACCCTCCCCATCCTTCCTTTTCTGCCAAGGTCCCACTACACTGGGTTCTCAGAGATACTTGCTGTATTATATGCTGGATAATGCACAATGAGTTTTCTTTCAAACTAAGAAATGGTAAGGAGAGAGTGAGGGGACCACCCGAACATCAAGGTAGAATTTGATTATGATCGTGTCAATCTAAGGCAGCATCAGAAAGGAGTGGAAGAAGAGGAACAAATCTCAGATGTCCAGCATAAAACATCTGAGTTAGGCTAAGTGGGGGCATCTCAGGTCAGTTTTAAGTACACTGCCAATCTCTTCTTTGCTTTTGAGGACCTTACCTTGACCCAGTTGCTGCTTTATTTCGGCTCTCTCCACTGATATATTAAAATAGACCTAGAGTTCAAAAGTGGACAACTGAAAGAATAATATAGGAAACTATGATAAATTGACCACTTTCTTGCCATGTGTCTATATAGAATTTGCTGCTTAGCAATAATCTATGTGTTCCATTAAAATGACAAAAGACATTTCCTTCTTTAGCCTAAACACATTCCAAAGCACATCTCTAAGAAAGAAAGAATAAAGAGAGCAGAGATAAGTAAAAGAGATGAGGGCATGTGAAGGTAGCCCCCCAAACCATCTCAAGACTCAAGAGTTCCTTACAGGGTCACAGTATGCAAATTATAAGACTTGATTGGAAGGTTTACAAACTATATAAACTTTTTCTTAAAAGTAACAAAATTTAGAAATAATTTCTAAAAAGTGTCTAAAAAGAAGTGAACTAGAGAAATTTAGCCAAGTGATTTTTGAACATCCTGATAGTCCTTAAATTGTTAACTTAGTTAACAATAAAAGTACTATTAATTGCTAATAATATTAATATTAAACAAGGATATAAATTTAGGTATAGTACAAATCATGAAATGAAATTTTCTATACTGCTTATTAAATTTAAAATCAATTCTGTCTACTGTGTTTATTTATACTTTAATTATGTTTTTAAATGAAATATATTAGCTAAGGTATAATAACTCGCAATTAGATTTTGGCATAAGAATGAACTAGTATATATATAAGGAATGAAAGAAAATTTTAAAAATTTACAATCAAAGAAATAATTTTGGGGGGAGCAGAGAGATGGCACAGTGAGTAAAGAACTGCCTAGCATGCATCAGACCTGGTTTCAATTCCTGACACCCCATAGGGTCCCCAAAGCTGCCAGAAGTGATGACTGAGCACAGAACCAGGAGTAAGCCCAGTCAGTAAGCCCAGGCAGGTTCCAAAACAAAACCAAACAAAGAGATTTCTTTTGGTGAGTGATGGACAATGGACCAAACATCAATCTAAAGATTATCTGAAGAGAAAGACAGACAGAAAGACAAACAGACAGGCAGACAGAGACAGAGACAGAAAGAGACAGAGTGAGCCAGAGAGGAGGGGGGGTGCGGTTCCTGCCTCTATGGCTGGAGATGGGTTAGGGTTTGGAGGGAAACTTGGGACACTGATGCTAGGAAATGTACACTGGTGGAGGGATGGGTGCTGGAACACTGTATGACTGAAACCTGAGCATGAACAGTTTTGTAAGGGTGTATCTCACAGTGATTCAATAAAAAATTAATAAAAAAGTAAAAATAAATTAAAAGGCTAAAGATTATCTGTTAATATCCTAGGGAAAACAACCATTGAGATCCGTGGTGGCTTCTGCCCTAACCAAGTTAAAATAGAGTCACTGAGAGTGTGTCAATTTTGAATTTGTGTGTTCTGCTGAGACAGAATATAGTGACCAGACTTTTATCAGAATTCTTCAAAACACTCAAATACAGTGCTCGACACACCAAAACATGTGTTCCACTTTCTTCAAACACTTTTAAGTGTCCCACATTTTTTCACAAGAAACATTTTATTCATTATTTTTGTACTTTTTTTTGCCACACCCAGCTGTGTTCAGATCTTACTTCTGACTTTGTGCTCAGGCATCACACATGATGACTATGATAGACGATATTGGATGCCAGGGATCGTAACTGGGTTGTGTGTGTGTGCAAGGCAAGCATATTATTTGCTGTACTAATGCTATGGCCTTCAAAAGAAAAAAAAATTTAAAGGCAGATAACTACACAAAATTAAATGGAATGTTAAAATCCAAAACCAAAATGTCTATAAATTTTGGGAAAAAATCATTAAAGAAATTTAAATATGATAGATAAATAATCTTTAAAGAAATACTACTAATCAGTGACAAGATACCATAATAATGTATAATATTCATTCAATATGCCAAACACAGTAACAACAAGTCTCACAATGGAGACATTACTGGGCCCACTTGAGCAAATTGATGAACAACGGGAGGACAGGGCTACAGTGCTACTCATTATATATTATTTTTAATGTTATATGTATGTTACACTTAGAATGTAGTAATCACCTCACTGATTATTTTTCATAAATAAAACACTTAAATTACAAAGG